TTGCCAAGTGTTTGCTAACATTAATGGTTAATTATTATGAAAGCTGGCAGCCTACATACTCAGCCAGCATCTTTCTCCGAGTGAGATCCAGACCTGTTACGGAGTTGTTATACACACAAGACATAAAGAGACAGCTTCTCACTCTGTTTCTGTCCTGTTCTCCCAGCCAAAGTCCCATTCCAAGATCAGAGAGCAGCAGAGCTTTTCTATGCTATTGTAACAACTAGCAATGAATTCAGAGCATTTGGCAAAGGAAGACTTAGCCATTTTCATGTCTAGACTCATTTCTGTCTTCTGGTTCCATTTTTCTCTGACTGAGCAGAATGGAAATAGGGATCTGAAAATGAGATATGCCCCAACAGTGAAGAACAGGGGCTATTTCCCTTGTGGAAAAGGGTTGTTTGTTCAAAGAGTTTTCATTGCAGCGGGAGGTTTAGGAGTATGAGGAGCATCAGGTTACCAACAGGGCCCAACTGACACCCCAGCTTAGCGCCAGGGAAGAAGGACAACAGATATTTGGGCAGCATGCTCCGTTGTAGGGCACAGACGGATTCAAGGTCGACTGGAGAAGGTCACTAGGCATAAGCTGTGCCCCTGTTGGCCTTTCTTCTACTTAGGCTGGGTCAACAAGCACCTGGCTGTGCTGGGCACTTCCTAACGTGTGAGGTGTCATGCCTGGGGATCAGAGGAGAGGAGAGGCATCTGGCCCAGCAGATCCCGTGTGTTTGGGGAGTCTCGAGTGCAGCAGGTCACCTGAAGAAGAGCGAGCCCGATCAGCTGCACCCAGCACCGCGTGACCAAGTTGAGGAGAGAAGCCCTGTCGTGACGGAGAGGGTGAGACAGCTGCCAGCTGAGTGAGTCTAGCACAGAGTGTGTGAGATGTGACGTGCCAGATATAATTTGATAGCCAGCACTATTTCAGAGAGTTACCTGAGAAGCCATCTTTATCTAATAGTAGTTGTCTAGAAAATGAAATCAGAGGAACTAAAGGCTCAAGGATCGTTTGGTCCTGTGAACATGGCTAACAAACTGTGAAAATCCAAGAGCTCTTCAGACTGTGTCAGTACTGATTTAATTTTTATTTTAGTGTTTTAAGTTGCAGTATGAATTTCTGAAGTAAAAGGTGCGTAAGTCCTATCTTTTGCCTATTGATAATATTTTAGAATTATTATAGTCTAGCGATGCTTGCTCTAAAAGGTAACTTAAAGGTGCATTAGTCTCAGATAATGGACAGAGCCCCAGGAAATGATTTGAGAAGCACTTATGCAGAACCAAAGATCTTAGTGAATTGTTACCTTAAATTAATGGTGCACGATGAAGCTGCTTTGAGTTGATCAGCTGACAGTAGTATTAAATGAGGTCAGATCTGAAAGTTATTAGCAAAATATCTATGAGTGTGTGCTGCTATGGATTTATATCGCTAGCATGGTGTCTTACAAGGGCCCAAATCTGCAACGCGCTCTGAGACTACCAGACCTCCCTGACCTCAGCGGGAGCAAAGAGCACTCGGTATCTCTCAGTTTGTACTCTTCAACATGCTGGATCTAAGGTTAGGCCAGCGTGGCTAACAGGATTCACACCTTTAACTCCCTTCTTAATCCCCAGACGAAATGAAAGGTCTTCTCTCAACACTTACTAAAGCTCCAATTTCATTTCTCATTATTAAATCATGAAATTGGCCAAAAATGTTTAGATTAAATGAAAGGAAGAGAGATTTGTGAGAAAATTGAAGCCTCCTTGAGAACTGAAGAATAACCTCCAAGGATGAAGAAAGTTGCAGTTGCTAAACCCAAAAGCAAAAGGATCAAAAAGCTACAAAAAACAAGTAGTAAAAAATGCATATGTTTGAAATCCTCTCCCCCCTAAAAACCTCTGGTGATTTAAATATAGGGAAAATTAATCTGACAACTAGCAGAGTTCACTAGATATTCCTTCCACTGCCTCTGCTGTTAACTTGTGTGACCTTGAGAAATTCTGTTCTCTGTGGGTCGGTTTGCCCACACTGAACATTGACTCTGCTTTCCTGAGGACAGTGAGATCTGTACAACGTTATTAGTACGGGTTGGGAATTAATTGGATTTAGGTGTCTCGGGTTAGAATGACGCTCACTTTTTTTCTTTTTGGTTAACATTATGAGTAATTAACTGTTGGAATGATTTTTCACAGACTGTGGTCAATTCTCCATCTCAGGTAACTTTCCAAGAGTGCATGCCTTTCTTCTGCTCCGAATCAAATGGGAGTGAAATTAAGGGAGTCTGTGGCTTGTAGTCTGGATGTTAACATCGTCTCCCCTCCGGCCTTGGTATTTATGAACCCATGAACCTGCTCAGACCCTGGTAAGTTTTTGTGTCCCTCTCCTCCCCCCTTCCATAGTGAGTGACGTTTATCTGTGGTACATTAGAAGCATGAGTTATGGGGAAAGGATCTCGACTGGAATTTTTTCAGATATTGAGGATATTTCTCTCAGTGAGCTTAATCCAGTTCAGCTCTAAAAGTATCAAAATAACAAAATTGGACCTAAATTGCTCTTTCACCTGACATGAATATGTCACTAGGGAGAATATCCTTATGAGTGGAACTTGTTCTGCATGCATGAAATAGCTCCAGCATCGATGAGTTTCGTTGCAGGTATCCCCTGCAGCATCCCACCAGCATCCTCACAAGCCAGCCTAAGAGGAAAGATCTCTCGAGGTGACTCTGGTTCCCATGGCCTGCTTAATGCTATGGGAGGCGGCTGTGGGAAAGAGGAGAGCCTGCCAGAGAGGGGTCGCCCATATCTGCCAAGGGTTGTAAAAGTTTTGGCAAATGGATACTTGTCTTCTAAGGAGGAGTAGATTGAGACCTGTCAAACTTACTTCACTTGAACAATGAGACAGCCGACAGATGATAAGCGCATTCAATCACTGCTAGACTGGGCTGAATTCAAACTGGCACCTACAGGTGAAAGACTATATTGTGTAAACAATTTCCTGACTTGCACAGTCCCCATTAAAATGGTCTTTAATTTAGGCCAGGGAATACACTGACCATTTTCTCACACTTGCAGCGCTGACCCAGTGGAGGTTAATGCAGGCATCTTATATCGGCTTGATCTGTAACTATAGAAAGCAGCAACCAAATCAAAATGTAGCCTGCCGGTGCCGGTTACAGCTGAAGGACGCGCTTTCTCCCTTCCAGCAGCTAAAAAGCATACGGTAAGTTGTGCAAAAACA